CCCCATCCATCTCTTTTTGGCGGATTGGATCGAATTGGATATCTACACGTTCGTTTACACCCGCCACTTCAATTGGGTCTGCCTGAAAAATGGGCAGGTGGACCCGATCGGAATGTCTATGTGAAAGGGACATATGGCCTCTCAAAAGAGGAGAGGGCTATGCTAGGGAATTAACTCTTCATGAAAAATCAGATTTGCAAGGGGAAAGAAAAGGAGCTTTAATTTTCGACGCTTCCACCTGCAATTTTGTAAGTTGTTGAAAGGGTCTCATTAAAGTGTATAGTTACAGTTGTGGCCAAAATTATTCAACCCCCAATGCTGTAAAGGGGTTTAGGGACTATAGTGTACATTTGAATTGTATTCAGAATCAAATCCTACAAGGAGTTGTAACTACCCAAATGCAACTAAAATGGACATCAATTGTTTATGTAATACAGTAGTAAAATGGTTCTTATGTGGTTTCTTCATTGCCACAATTATTCAACCCCTTAAAGACTACCACTCTGAAGAACAGAGGTTCATACAGGTGCTTTCCATCAGGTATTGAAAACACCTGTGGATGTCACCGAGCAGCAATCAAGCATAATAAGCACCAATTAGGCAGCTTTAAAATGACTGTGATACTCAGCTCCTTCTAGACATTTACTGGTGTGGTTACAAACATGGTGAAGGCAAGAGAATGGTCCAGGAAGACAAGAGAAGAGGTGATTTCTCTTCACAGGAAGGGCAATGGCTATAAGAAGATTGCAAAGATGTTAAACATACCAAGAGACACCTTAGGAAGCATCATTCGCAAATTCAAGGCAAAGGGCACTGTTGAAACGCTACCTGGTCGTGGCAGAAAGAAGATGCTGACTTCGACTGCTGTGCGCTACCTGAAGCGTAGAGTGGAGAGAAGTCCCCGTGTGACTGCTGAGGAACTGAGAAAAGATTTGTCAGATGTGGGTACAGAAGTTTCAGCCCAGACAATAAGACGCACACTGCGTAATGAAGGCCTCCGTGCCAGAACTCCCAGGCGTACCCCCTTGCTGTCTCCAAAGAATAAGAAGAGTCGACTGCAGTATGCCCAAAAGCCATGTGGACAAACCACAAAAGTTGTGGGATAGTGTTCTGTGGACTGATGAAACAAAATTAGAAACTGTTTGGGCCCATGGATCAACGCTATGTTTGGAGGAGGAAGAACAAGGCCTATGATGAAAAGAACACCTTGCCTACTGTGAAGCATGGTGGAGGGTCAATCATGCTTTGGGGCTGTTTTGCTTCTGCAGGTACAGGGAAGCTTCAGCGTGTGCAAGGTACCATGAATTCTCTTCAGTACCAGGAGATATTGGATGGAAACGTGATGCAGTCCGTCACACACCTGAGGCTTGGGAGACGTTGGACCTTTCAACAGGACAATGATCCCAAGCATACCTCCAAGTCCACTAGAGCATGGTTGCAGAGGAAAGGCTGGAACATTTTGGAGTGGCCATCGCAGTCACCAGACTTAAATCCGATTGAGAACCTCTGGTGGGACTTAAAGAAAGCAGTTGCAGTGCGCAAGCCTAAGAATGTGACTGAACTGGAGGCCTTTGCCCATGAAGAATGGGCGAAGATACCCGTAGATCGCTGCAAGACACTTGTGTCAAGCTATGCTTCACGTTTAAAAGCTGTTATAACTGTAAAAGGATGCTGTACTAAGTACTAAGATTGAATGTCACTTGGGGGTTGAAATAAAACTGATAATGCTGTGAGCACAGAAAAGACATTTGTGGTTATTTCATTATAACTGTTATGTTATATTTGTCTGACCTACAAGTGCCTCTTTAATGTAAATGTAAGCAAGATGACTGAATGATCAAAAGCAATGTCAAACTGGCCAAAACACTCAATTTCAGTGGGGTTGAATAAATTTTGGCCACAACTGTATATAGTTAGTAAGCTTGAATAAGGACACCAGTCCGTCCAGTTCCACCTGAGTGTGCGTATGTCACTACCATTTTCCATATCCTTGTACATTACATTCGCTAAAAAACACATCTAAAAATGTTTTTGAATTTCTCTCCACGCTCCACTGTCACCACCAACGGTGGAAGGGAATTCCACATCCTTACCACTCTAACAGTAAGGAACCCTTTACGTAGTTTAGGATTGAACTGCTTCTTGTCCAGCTTCATTGTGTGTCTGACCTAAGGTTAAAAGGTTTCCTCCCAATGCTACAGTCCCCATTTAAAGATTTGTATATTGTGATCATATCTCCTCTTAAACGCTGCTTCTCCAGGTAGAATGTTTAACGATTGTAGTCATTCCTCATAGCTGAGGTCCTTCAGTCCCCTTATTAGCTTTGTTTTCCCTTCTCTGGACTATCTCCAGTTCCAGCACATCCTTCCTGAAGGCTGGAGACCAGCACTGGATGATATATTTAAAGAAGATCTTCGGCTGCCTCCACACCATCCTTTTTCCCTCTCCCGGGTGGTCCGGGTAGCACATTTCTGATACTCCCCCACCCAGAGGATCCAGCGTTGTCCTGCTGAGATCCTCTTGTATTCTGCCACCTCTCTGCCCCGTGCTGCCATCTTGATTCCTCATAGCTGAGGTCCTTCAGTCCCCTTATTAGCTTTGTTGCCCTTCTCTGGAATCTTTTCAGTTCCAGCACATCCTTCCTGAAGACTGGAGACCAGCACTTGATGATTTACCTAAAGTAGATCTTCGGCCACCTCCCCACCATCCTTTTTCCTTCTCTCGGGTGGTCCGGGTGGCACATTTCTGATACTCCCCCACCCAGAGGATCCAGCGTTGTCCTGCTGAGATCCTCTTGTATTCTGCCACCTCTCTGCCCCGTGCTGCCATGTTGATTCCTCATAGCTGAGGCCCTTCAGTCCCCCTATTAGCTTTGTTGCCCTTCTCTGGACTCTCTCCAGTTCCAGCAAATCCTTCCTGAAGCCTGGAGACCAGCACTGGATGATATATTTAAAGTAGATCTTTGGCCACCTCCCCATATGCGTACAGTGCTCCCCTCTCACTCCAATACCCATATAGGAGAAAAAAAAGAGAGAACCCCAAATGGTGCAGTACCAGCTACAAGATATTATTGCCACAATAGAGTGCCACTTACAAGATAAGAATCAGTAAAAAAGCCCAAAGATGTTGACTTTAGCAAGCTCTCAGTGTTAAGAAAGCCACACCAGTGCTCTCACCACTACCGGCCCTCGATCTCACTATCGTCACTTCCAGTTCCGATCACTATCCAGTTCCGGTCAAGCCATCACTGACGCGTTTCGTCACTTCCGTCTTAGTCATAGGGGATCTCATCTTGTAAGTGGCACTCTATTGTGGCAATAAAATCTTGTAGTTGGTACTGCACCATTTGGGGTTTTCTCGTTTTTTTCTCCTACATGGTTATTGGAGTGTGGAGCATTGTGAGGAGGAGCCTATGTGCCGGAATTTGGGAGTGTTCATCCTGGGATTCCAAGGTTTCAAGAATAAAGAGTACAATAAAACATCACAGTGACCTGATTTGGTCCTTGCAGAAACCGTCTATGTAAGCCCAGAGGCGTCCATAGGGTTGGTGTCACCCGGTGCGGTAACACTTGGTGACACCCCCTCCGACGATCCCCGCAGAATGGATCGGATCTGCGGATTGGGGAGCATATTGGATCGGACTCCGATCCATTATGCTCAATCTGCAGATCCGATCCATCCTGCGGGGATCATTGGCTTTCTTTACAACTTACCTTTTCTTGGAGCGGGTCTGGGACAACTGCACATGTCCTGGTTTCAGGCACGATCAATCGATGATAGCAGTAGTTCTATCATCGATTGATCGTGCCTGAAACCGGGACATGCACAGTTGGTTCAGAGGGACATGGGAGCTACATGGGAGACACATCTTGCCGATACACCGTTGTCAACCCACAGGCAACCTATATGGGGTGACACCGGACCCGCTCCAGGAAAAGAAAGGTTGTAAAGAAAGCCGACGATCCCCGCAGGATCCGACGGCTTGCTTTACAACTTACCTTTTTGTGGAGCGGGTCCGGTGTCACCCCGTGCGGTCGGTGTCAGCCGGTGCGGACCGCACCCCCCGCACCTGCCTCGGGACGCCACTGTGTAAACTAGTGTGCCAACCATGAGAGTGAGAGGCAACACTTTTTGGTGAGTGCACACCTGAGAGGGGAGCACTGCACGCATATGTATGCATTTAATTTCTTCACAAGTTTCCTTCACGTGGTGGTTGCTTTGTGGACTGATTCATTTGGACTTTTCTTTTGGAATATATAATTTTTTTGCTATTCCATTATTTTATATATATTTTTATGTGGAAGACATTTTTTTATATTATTTATATATTTTTTATAGAATAAAAATATATAAATTAATTTCGGCACTATTAATTTATGCGCCACTAGATTACTTTTGAAGTGTATTTTTGCTGATTCTTATTATATCTTAAAGTGGCAGCGTATTGGTTATATGCAGATGTGATATAGTAGTGATAAATATCACTTATCTACACATTTAGTGCAGTTTGATGGTCATACACTTTCACTATTTTCACATAGAACAAGGAAATGTTAGGTTTAGAAGAGCTCAGGGGCGGACTGACCATTTGGAAACTCTGGCACTGAGCGAGGGCTCGGGGTCAGTAGGGGGCCCCATGAGATGCCCCTGGTACCTTTTTCAGTTTGGGAAAGGACACAAGGGCCCCATGATCCCCTATTGCCCGGGGGCCCCATGAGTTGTCAGTCCGCCCCTGGAAGAGCTAATCCTAGCATAGGGGTGTCACATTGAGCACCAATGGATGTGTGCATTGAGGGGAAGTCACCATTACAGGTTGAACATATTGCTAGGCAGATATGGATGGAACGGCATAAACACAAACTCAAAGTTCTGGTGCTTCAAGCTAGGCATCTGTTGGTCACAAAGTCCTTGGAGATCTTTTTGATGTCTTGACCTGCTATTCACCTCAGTCCACCACTTGGTCTTTCTTACATTTTTTTTTCTATTTTCCATCCGTCAAGGTGTCATGCAGCAATTTGCTATCTCTGAGGCAAACGTTAATGGCATGGTCATCGATGGATGGAGAAGAGGAGAGCGTCAATTCTAACCAGGAAAGGCAAAGTGAAACTTACCAGGAGCTGCTGGAAAATCAGGGTAAGGCCTGCAGAGCACAGTCCAGCGGAATTATTACGTAAGGCAATGAGGGTGAGAAAGGGGCTGTAAGACACAGCAACCAATCATATCAGCCAAAGGTGAATTTTCATTGGTTGATGTGGATAGAAATGAGAGAATCTGTTTGCCTGAACTGAGATTCCACAAAACATGTGCCTGAATCTCCTGAGTCTTCAGGAAAAAACAATTTGTATGACTTCTTTGCTAGATAGTGATGACATTTAGCAAAAATTTATATTAGAGGTAATTTTTTATTGCCACCCATGTCCCTTTTTTACATAATTTCAAAGTTTTCCACCCAATTGACTCCAATTTATTTTTGGGAAATTGGTACCCAAAGGAAAATCTTTGGTCTAAATTTTGAAAAACTGATTTTGTCCTCAACTAAATGTCAGGATACTTTTTGGTCAAAAGCAACTAGTCAGTTGCAGGAAGTTTTTTCTCAAAACTTACAGTAGAACAGAAGGCACAACTTTTACTTTCATTTTGGATAGCGTAAGGGAAGGAGAATAAACACCTTTCAGGTTTTGTTTTTTTTTGTCAAAACAGGAAATGAAGAGGAAATCCCTCCAAAGTGACGGAAATCTGTGGAATTCACCAGGGTCACCAAAACTAGTGTCCTCCTTGGAAGATTTCCCCTATTCCTAATCTGAGATCAGAATGTGGGATTTTCTTTCCCTTTTTTTCCCCCAAATTATTTTGTTATTGAATTATATGATTTAGAAAAATACAAAACAAAGCCAATTGGGCATACCCTGGCTCGCTTAGTTACAAAAGAAACTCGTGAAAGCAAACAACTGGACAATTCCTCTCTTCTGTATACACTCGGTCCAAAGAAAAGATAAAATGTGCAAGTAACTCAGAAAATGAATTCAGTGACCAAACCCTCACCACCCAAAATCTTAACTGAGATGTAATAATAACATTCTACCAGATCTCTTGGGCGAGTCTGGGAGGTTCATGTCCAAGTCTGGGAGGTTCATGTCCAAGTCTGGAAGGTTCATGTCCAAGTCTGGGAGGTTCATGTCCAAGTCTGGGAGGTTCATGTCCAAGTCTGGGAGGTTCATGTCCAAGTCTGGGAGGTTCATGTCAAGTCTGGGAGGTTCATGTCCAAGTCTGGGAGGTTCATGTCCAAGTCTGGGAGGTTCATGTCCAAGTCTGGGAGGTTCATGTCCAAGTCCTGGGAGGTTCATGTCCGAGTCTGGGAGGTTCATGTCCGAGTCCGGGAGGTTCATGTCCGAGTCGGGAGGTTCATGTCCGAGTCCGGTCTGGGAGGTTCATGTCCGAGTCCGGGAGGTTCATGTCCGAGTCAGGGAGGTTCATGTCCGAGTCCGGGAGGTTCATGTCCGAGTCCGGGAGGTTCATATCCGAGTCCGGGAGGTTCATGTCCGAGTTGGGAGGTTCATGTCCAGTCTGTCCGGGAGGTTCATGTCCGAGTCCGGGAGGTTCATGTCCGAGTCATGTCCGAGTCCGGGAGCTTCATGTCCGAGTCCGGGAGGTTCATGTCCGATGTCCGGGAGGTTCATGTCCAGTCCTGGGAGGTTCATGTCCGAGGTCTAGTCTGGGAGGTTCATGTCCGAGTCTGGGAGGTTCATGTCCAAGTCGGGAGGTTCATGTCCAAGTCCTGGGAGGTTCATGTCCAAGTCTGGGGAGGTTCATTTCCGAGTCTGGGAGGTTCATGTCTGAGTCTGGGAGGTTCATGTCTGAGTCTGGGAGGTTTTTTTCCAAGGCGGCATTTGTGAAAGTAGAATTAAACCATATATCCCAGAAAATTTCCTGGGGCAACCCCTAGAAGAATGTGTAAATGTATAAAGGGGAATGGCCAAGTTGACTTAGTGCTTCCAATAGTCCAGAGTATGGGGTCTATAATGCATCTTCAACATCTTAAAGTGATATTAAAGGCAATTGTTTTTAAAATAACAAAAATGTCATATTTACCTGCTTTGTGTAATGGTTTTGTACAGAGCAGCCCTGATCCTCCTCTTCTCAGGTCCCCTCGCTGGCACTCCTGGCCCCTCCCTTCTGCCAAGTGTCCCCATTCACACATAGAGTTCAGTCCTGCTCCCCCCCCCCCCCCACTTTCTCTTTATTGGCTCACTGGCTGTGATTGACAGTAGCAGCAGCCAATGGCTCCCGCTGCTGTCTCAGCCAATAAGGAGGAGGAGTCTGGGGAGAGCTGCTGCTCTCGTGCACATAGCTGAATCATGGTGGGGCTCAGGTAAGTATGGGGGGGCTGCTGCAGACAGAAGGTTTTTTGTAAAACCTTGAGCTTTTACAACCACTTTAAGGGGACCACAGGGTAAATTCTATGTAACCATTGAGGGGGTGAGATACATCCTGTGAGGGATTTTTAATTGAATTATAAAGTCCTAGCAGAGATATGGACCAATCTCATAGGTCTTCCTAGTCCTCCCGGAACCTCTGCTCACCATCTGGAGTGAAGAGTATCAAGTCCCTCATGGATAGAAGGCAGAGCCTTGTAAATAGTGGAGAGGTTTGTTAAGGGCATCGTTCCTGGGCAGAATTTCCAATCCCACGGAGGTAAGGGACAATAGGGATAGGTAGGAGTTAGGAAGGGTGAACTGCTATTTTAAGGTGTCAAAGGAATTCAATCTACCTCCTTCGCAAATGCGTTGGAGATATATTCTTCCCCTTGACACCCAAATAAGGGGATCGGGTATGGAAAACAAATTCGGGCAGGGTGGGATTTCGCCATAGAGGAGTGAGAAGTGAAAACCTATTCAAGACTTTAGGATTTACCTCATTCCAAGCCCTTATGACTGCTTTAATAAAGGGAGTCAAATGACACTATACTTTGGCTCCCCTATAAAGAAGGTTCCGGAGGGCTTCATAGGAGCCTAAATGAGCAGCCTCCAGCATCACCGAAGCATATTTCCTTTCGCTTCTGAGAGGGTGAATCCACCTAACGTGGACAGCATTAAAACTTGACTGGTGTTCTAATCCCTCTCCACTCTATCCAAAACTAAAAAAAAAAAAATATTTTTTGCCTGTAGCTGTTTAATTGTGTCAAGTTTCACTACTCATTGGGACTGGAAGTAAGGGGAAATCTCTACTCTGTGGACATAGGCAGAAACACATTTTTATTAAAATATAGAAAAGTTTAAGCCTCTGTCAAGTTTTTCTGCCATATTGGTATCCCTGTTTTTGTCAGGAAGGGAACAATTTGTAGGGGGTATTTTTAGCAGAGTGAGGAAGGGATAGAATTTTGGATAGACAAGAACCAGTGGAGGTACAAACAAAAATAGAAACCCCAAAAAGCTTCTAAACCCCCTCCTACTATAGCCAAAACTTAAAAAAATGGGGCTTGAGTTAGACCAGGTATACTCAACAAGGGTTTCATGGAACTCTAGTGTTCCTCCAGAGGTTGCTGAGGATTCCTTGAGCTGTGGCTAATTGACCTCCCATCTGATGGTGTCTTCATAGATCCAGGTCCATCACCACTTGGCAGAACCAGTAGCATGACTCCAATGATCTTTGGCAATCTAACCACAGCTGTAAGGGGAACTTAATTCCCACTGGCCCCCAATATAAGGAACATTTCACTAATGACCTCTTATGGACTAATCCTACCAGGAGTTCCCTAAGACATGAAAATTATTTCAAGGGCTTCTCTAGGATAAAAATGTTGAGAAAGGCTGAATTAGACCGTACCTCAACAATAAAAAAAATATTATAGAAGTATTATATTATATACTTAAAAGTGTGAAAAAAATCTAAAATTATTTTAAACATTGTAATAATAACACAAAAAATATTTTTACATGCATATATTAAAAAAATAATACAGTCAGGTCCATAAATATTGGGACATCGACACAATTCTAACATTTTTGGCTCTATACACCACCACAATGGATTTGAAATGAAACGAACAAGATGTCTTTTAACTGCAGACTGTCAGCTTTAATTTGAGGGTATTTACATCCAAATCAGGTGAGCAGTGTAGGAATTACAACGGTTTGCATATGTGTCTCCCACTTGTTAAATGACCAAAAGTAATGGGACAATTGGCTTCTCAGCTGTGCCGTGGGCAGGTGTGTGTTATTCCCTCATTATCCCAATTACAATGAGCAGATAAAAGGTCCAGAGTTCATTTCAAGTGTGCTATTTGCATTTGGAATCTGTTGCTGTCAACTCTCAAGATGAGATCCAAAGAGCTGTCACTATCAGTGAAGCAAGCCATCATTAGGCTGAAAAAAACAAAACAAACCCATCAGAGAGATAGCAAAAACATTAGGCGTGGCCAAAACAACTGTTTGGAACATTCTTAGAAAGAAGGAACGCACCGGTGAGCTCAGCAACACCAAAAGACCACGGAAAACAACTGTGGTGGATGACCGAAGAATTCTTTCCCTGGTGAAGAAAACACCCTTCACAACAGTTGGCCAGATCAAGAACACTCTCCAGGAGGTAGGTGTATGTGTGTCAAAGTCAACAATCAAGAGAAGACTTCACCAGAGTGAATACAGAGGGTTCACCACAAGATGTAAACCATTGGTGAGCCTCAAAAACAGGAAGGCCAGATTAGAATTTGCCAAACGACATCTAAAATAGCCTTCACTGTTCTGGAACAACATCCTATGGACAGATGAGACCAAGATCAACTTGTACCAGAGTGATGGGAAGAGAAGAGTATGGAGAAGGAAAGGAACTGCTCATGATCCTAAGCATACCACCTCATCAGTGAAGCATGGTGGTGGTAGTGTCATGGCGTGGGCATGTATGGCTGCCAATGGAACTGCTTCTCTTGTATTTATTGATGATGTGACTGCTGACAGAAGCAGCCGGATGAATTCTGAAGTGTTTCAGGCAATATTATCTGCTCATATTCAGCCAAATGCTTCACAACTCATTGGACGCCACTTCACAGTGCAGATGGACAATGACCCAAAGCATACTGCAAAAGCAACCAAAGAGTTTTTTAAGGGAAAGAAGTGGAATGTTATGCAATGGCCAAGTCAATCACCTGACCTGAATCCGATTGAGCATTTCACTTGCTGAAGACAAAACTGAAGGGAAAATGCCCCAAGAACAAGCAGGAGCTGAAGACAGTTGCAGTAGACCCCTGGCAGAGCATCACCAGGGATGAAACCCAGCGTCTGGTGATGTCTATGTGTTCCAGACTTCAGGCTGTAATTGACTGCAAATGATTTGCAACCAAGTATTAAAAAGTGAAAGTTTGGTTTATCATTATTATTCTGTCCCATTACTTTTGATCCCTTAACATGTGGGAGGCACATATGCAAACTGTTGTAATTCCTACACCGTTCACCTGATTTGGATGTAAATACCCTCAAATTAAAGCTGACAGTCTGCAGTTAAAACACATCTTGTTTGTTTCATTTCAAATCCATTGTGGTGGGTGTATAGAGCCAAAAATGTTAGAATTGTGTCGATGTCCCAATATTTATGGACCTGACTGTATGTAAAAAAAAAAAAGCCAAATTCTTTGTAATAAATAGTTGTCCTGTTATTTTTTGGGAATTAAAAGTAGAATTTGACATTAACATTCCTTTGTTTTTCCTTTCTGTCTTTGTCTTGTCCTCCCCGTGTGTTCCCTTTTCACATTTCTCTATCTATGTATAGATAACCTTGCACAGGCGCATTCAGAATGTTGGCCACACTCTTATGTGTCCCAAGGACTGTACTGCCTCGGCTCCTCGGAGGCGTGGGCTAGCAGCGAGCAGTCTCTCACAGTGTCCCCGGCGCCCACAGGAGGATGCGGCATCATAAACCCCGGACCTGAGCTGGAAGAGAGACCGCTTGAGAATATCTGTGAGATTTCCCCTCAGTTGCTGCACTCTAAAATATCCCCCTTAGAAGAAGATGACGTTGTGTGTCACGATCTGCAGTCCCTGTCTCCACCAAGAGAGGAATTTGACAGCCCCCCGCACAGCCGGAAGGTGTCAGATGTGGCAACGTCTGGGGTGCAGTCTGGGGAGGAGGAGGAAGAACGAGAAGTGGAGAACTAAGTCCATCAGGTGGAACCGGAGGATGGAGAAACATCACAATGTGAGCTGGGGGTCATTTATCAAACTCTTCCATGCAACCAACTTTTTTTTTTTTTTAATTATTTTTGAAAACTAGGCAAAAACACTACAGCCCTCTGCAAAAAAAAAAAAAAAAAATCATGAAAGTGCTTACAATTTTTTTTTCGATGCAGGACCCAATTTTAAAGAAATATTCTGCTAAATTTAAAATTTATAAAACAAGCTCTTAAATAAAGCTTCACCCCTTTCTGTGAAAAGATGAGCATTAAGATGCCTGCATGCTGCTAACTGCCGAGTATTTGTGACATTTTACGTTACTGCTGCGGCCACTCTTCCTACCTAATCATAGCTGACCGGGTTGAGAAAACTCAGCTACTATAATACAATAGGAGAGTTCCCGTTTCGGCCTTGCAAAAACTATATTCAATATTATTTACTAAAGGGTGCATGTACCCATAGGAGCCTGTATATAAATATGAAATTGCTTTTTTTTCTCTTCGTTTTATAAAAACTGTAAATTCAGACTGAATATTTCAAAGGCATTTCCTCTAAATTTCTTACCAAGCTATTTCATTTTACCAAGTGAAATAGTTAAAAATTACAAAGAAATTTAAGAAGAGAATCCTTATGGTCATTTTATTTGCGCAGCGTTTCATTTTTATATCATTTTTTTAAAAACATTTTTAAATACTGTCTCTTTTAATTAGTGGACATCCCTTTAAAAAACTTTTTGGGGGGACATCAACTCACTAAATTCAACTTTCAATATTTTATTTAATGATGCTTGTTTTATCACAATGTCTCTTACATATCGCATAGCTGTGGCCCTTCATTGGAAACAATTAACTAATATGAAAGTTAATTATACAAACTATAAATTACTTGTTCTTTTGAATTTGTATTTTTTCTCATCAGTTTTGAATAAAAAAATACAATTTTTGATTGGAAAAAAACACAATTTACCCAATTTTCCAAATGTGTTATTGTTTTCCAGTTTCATTATTGTTTATTGAATTGGCACAATTCTGTTTTCATATGGCACAGCTGTGGTCCTTTATTGGCAATAATTAACTATTATGAAAACTAAAAAGTATTTCTTCTTAGGAATCTGTATTTTTTTTCTTTTTTTTTACCTGTGGTAAATTTAAAAAAAAATAGATAATTTTCTCTTTAAAAACACAATTTAAAAAATTTCCAAATGTGATATTGTATAGTGAATTGATGCCATTCTGTTTTCATTTGGCACAGCTGTGGTCCTTCATTGGTAATAATTAGCTAGTATAAAAATGACCACAACCTGAAAAAATCTTTCCTTTTATGAATCTGTATTTTTTTCAAATCAGTTGTGAATACAAAATATAATTTTTCATTGAAAAAACACAATTTACCAAATTTTCCAGTTGCATTATTGTTTATTGAATTGGCACGATTCTGTTTTCATATGGCACAGCTGTGGTCCTTTATTGGCAATAATTAACTATTATGAAAACTAAAAAGTATTTCTTCTTAGGAATCTGTATTTTTTTTCTTATCAGTTGTGAATTAAAAAAAATATAACTTTTGATTGAAAAACACAATTTACCCAATTTTCCAAAGGCGTTATTGTTTAGTGAATTAGTGCCGTTCTGTTTACATATGACATAGCTGTGGTCCTTCATTGGCAACAATGAACTATTATGAAAATTACCACAAACTAAAAATTATTTCTTCTCAGGAATCTGTATTTTCTTTCTCATGAGTTGTGAGTAAAAAATATATATAATTTTTGATTGAGAAAAAAAATACCGCAAACCCAAAAAAATCTTTCCTCTTATGAATCTGTATTTTTCTTCTTTTTTTTATCTGTGGTAAATTTAAATAGATAATTTCTATTGAAAAACACAATTTAAAAAATGTCCAAATGTGATATTGTATAGTGAATTGATGCCATTCTGTTTTCATTTGGCACAGCTGTGGTCCTTCATTGGTAACAATTAGCTAGTATAAAAATTACCACAACCTGAAAAAATCTTTCCTTTTTATGAATCTGTATTTTTTTCTCATCAGTTGTGAATACAAAATGTAATTTTTCATTGAAAAAACACAATTTACCAAATTTTCCAGTTGCATTATTGTTTATTTAATTGGCACGATTCTGTTTTCATATGGCACAGCTGTGGTCCTTCATTGGCAATAATTAACTATTACGAAAACTAAAACGTATTTCTTCTTAGGAATCTGTATTTTTTTCTTATCAGTTGTGAATAAAAAAAATATATAACTTTTGATTGAAAAACACAATTTACCCAATTTTCCAAAGGCGTTATTGTTTAGTGAATTGACGCCATTCTGTGTTCATTTGGCATAACTGTGGTTCTTCATTAGTAACAATTAACTATTATAAAAATGACCAAAAAACTAAAAATCTTTAATCTGTATTTAAAAAAAAAAACAATTCTCAGTTGTAAATTAAAAAATATAATTTTTGATTGAAAAACACAGCTTACCAAATATTCCAGTTGCATTATTGTTTATTGAATTGGCTTGATTCTGTTTTCATATGGCACAGCTGTGGTCCTTCATTGGCAATAATTAACTATTACGAAAACTAAAAAGTATTTCTTCTTAGGAATCTGTATTTTTTTCTTATCAGTTGTGAATAAAAAAAATATATAACTTTTGATTGAAAAACACAATTTACCCAAATTTCCAAAGGCATTATTGTTTAGTGAATTGACGCCATTCTGTTTTCATTTGGCATAACTGTGGTTCTTCTTTGGTAACAATTAACTATTATAAAAATGACCAAAAACTAAAAATCTTTAATCTGTATTTTTTTTTTTAATTTCTAAGTTGTAAATTAAAAAATACAACTTTTGATTGAAAAACACAATTACCCAATTTTCCAAAGGCGTTATTGTTTAGTGAATTGACGCCATTCTGTGTTCATTTGGCATAACTGTAGTTCTTCATTAGTAACAATTAACTATTATAAAAATGACCAAAAACTAAAAATCTTTAATCTGTATTTTTTTTTTTTAATTTCTCAGTTGTAAATTAAAAAATATAATTTTTGATTGAAAAACACAATTTATCAAATTTTCCAGTTGCATTATTGTTTATTGAATTGGCACGATTCTGTTTTCATATGGCACAGCTGTGGTCCTTCATTGGCAATAATTAACTATTACGAAAACTAAAAAGTATTTCTTCTTAGGAATCTATTTTTTTTCTTATCAGTTGTGAACTTTTGATTGAAAAACACAATTTACCCAATTTTCCAAAGGCATTTAGTGAATTGACGCCATTCTGTTTTTATTTGGCATAACTGTGGTCCTTCATTGGCAACAATGAACTATTATGAAAATTACCACAAACTAAAAATAATTTCTTCTGAGGAATCTGTATTTTTCTCATGAGTTGAGTAAAAAATCTATAATTTTTGATTGAGAAAAGAAATACCGCAAACCAAAAAAATCTTTCCTCTTACGAATCTGTATTTTTCTTATTTATTTTTTTTTATCTGTGGTAGATTTTAAAAAAATAGATAATTTTCTATTGAAAAACTTTAGTGAATTGATGTTATTCTGTTTTCATTTGGCATAACTGTGATTCTTCCTTGGTAACAATTAACTATTATAAAAATTACCAAAAACTAACAATCTTTAATCTGTATTTTTTAAAAAAAAAATTCTCAGTTGTAAATTAGAAAATTATAATTTTTGATTGAAAAACACAATTTGCCAAATTTTCCAATTGCGTTTTTCTTAGTGAATTGGTGCCATGTGTTTTCATTTTTGGTCCTGGTAAACCTAAAAGCGCTCCGGTGGTACACCCGATCTCTACTACCCTTTGCTTGGCCTGATTGGCTGCATGCTAGTAATTCTGTGAAACATTTTGCCTGTAAGCATGCACTTCAAAATTCCTGAGAGGGCTTGTCGACCTGTTTGTTCTCCATAATATGAATTTGATTGTATATTTTCTTCATAGAGATCATAAAAGAGGCAAGAGCAAGATAACAGCACCATACCAATGAAAGGAAAAACTCCAACTGCTCTCAACGGGATCCCTTTTCTCTCTTGATGCTGTTATGTTGCTCCAATGTTTGGAAGCATCCTGTGATAGGACATGGTGGAACCCTTCCACAGAAGAAATTTCGACGTCAAAGAAGATTTCATTGAAGGACAAGGATAGCATTTGGACAACGCCTCTTTTCATAACTCCCATTAATACGTTTATCTACAGATAAATTCAAAACTTTCCCAAAAAAAAATCAGTCTACAATTATTTGACTCTTCTTTATAATTTTTGATTGACTTTTTGATGTCTGTGAAGTTGATTTGATAAATGACCCCCCGTCCACCCAACCCCAAAGTGTGAGAGAGTTGGCGTCAAGAGTAAAGACCATCGCCGCCTTCGATGCCAAACGGATCCCAGTCTGCCTGTCTGTCCTGCCACCAACGCAGAAAAGTCTTCCCTTGTCCTAGGAGAGAAATCACGACCAACTTTCATCCCCCTTGGCATCCGTAAGAGGAATCCATGACACTAAGCTCCAATCTTGCCCTCTCTCGGGGTCTTGCAATGTTGACCAGAGACAGGCTCAGGTGTCGGAAGCACAGACTGCTCCATTTGTGTGGGAGGTCTCGCATGCCTTAAAGTGATCTCCCTAAAATCTCCCAACTATCATTTGCCAAACTCCCCCAACCCCTCCCAAAAAAAAAAAAAAAAAAAAAAAAAAAAAAAAAAACTTTAATCTGCGTTCCTGCCAAAGACCACAGAGCATCATCCTTCATTAACTTGTTGCTTGCCAAAGGTCTAATGGGCATTGCGCTTCATCCGCTTGCCACTGTTCCCCATCTCATACGATTACAGGGCATTTAAACAACGCTGTTTATTATTATTTGGGGGGGGGGGTTTTGTTTTGTTTTTTTGGGTTTTTTTTTTTTTATGTACAATTCATTCTCATGAATTGGCTTGCTGGTGAAATTTATTTGCAACAAATGCTCCATTAACCTTTATCAATGCTGGTGTCCTCACAGCATTGCTCTCGCAACAATGTTTTGTACAAAGCGCTTATGGTTTGTCTATTTTGCGTTTTAGTCTTGCCAAAGACCTGCAGAGCATCACGTTGCTAGCCTTTCTTTCAGCCTTTTGGTCCACCAAATGTACAGGGATGGGGTAAGTCCTTATAGGCCTAAGGGTCTAGGGCAGATCATTTTTTGGGGGGCGATTGGACAAGTGCACCCTTGTGTGATCAGTTCTTGCTTATATTTTTTTCTTGAAGTCTTAGACAGGAAATATTATTTTGGAGAATTAACATTTTGATATATGTAGAATACTTTAATGTGTTCATATTATTTCCTGTGTACATAACTGGTTGCCCACATAGTTTTGAGGTCTTGGGGGTGACGTGATGGCTTAGACGACCATATTGGTGAAGCCAAACCTTAGACAGGAGAGACAAATTCCAAAAGTCAGTCCATTTTAATAGTCTTTTTTTTAGTAGCAAAGGAACATGTGATTCCACTGCCTAAAAAAAAATATAAGAGCCTTTCTTTCGGCCTTTTGGTCCACCAAATGTACAGGGCCAGGGTAAGTCCTTATAGGCCCAAGGGTCTAGGGCAGATCATTTTTTTTTTGGGCGATTGGACAAGTGCCCCCTTGTGTGATCAGTTCTTGCTTATTTTTTTTTCTTGAAGTCTTAGACAGGAAATATTATTTTGGAGAATTAACATTTTGACATATGTAGACAACTTTTATATGTTCATATTATTTCCAGTGTAGATAACTGGTTGCCCACATAGTTTTGAGGTCTTGGGGGTGACGTGATGGCTTAGAGGACAATATTGGTGAAGCCAAACCTTGGACAGGAGAGACAAATTCCAAAAGTTAGTCCATTTTTAATAGTCTTTTTTTAGTAGCAAAGGAACATGTGATTCCACTGCCAAAAAAATATAAGAGCCTTTCTTTCGGCCTTCTGGTCCACCAAATGTACAGGGACGGGGTAAATCCTTATAGGCCTAAGGGTCTAGGGCAGATCATTTTTTTTGGGCGATTGGACAAGATCCCCCTTGTGTGATCATTTCTTGCTTGTTTTTTTTTTCTTGAAGTCTTAGACAGGAAATATTATTTTGGAGAATTAACATTTTGACATATGTAGAATACTTTAATATGTTCATATTATTTCCTGTGTACATAACTGGTTGCCCACATAGTTTTGAGGTCTTGGGGGTGACATTAGAGGACCATATTGGTGAAGCCAAGCCTTGGACAGGAGAGACAAATTCCAAAAGTCAGTCCATTTTAATAGTCTTTTTTTAGTAGCAAAGAAACTGCCAAAAAAATATAAGAGATTGTAAAAAAAAAAATTGTTTTTTAGGTGTTTTGGCAACCAGACTTCTGAGATGAGTCTAGTCCATTTCCTGAACATGTAATCTCTTATCTCTAGGAGACACAATTGTGATGCTGGCATTGTGAGTTATTCAACCTGGTGTATATAAAGTCAAAATGCAAAAAAAGAAACTACAGCATGTACTGTTTTAAGCGTTTGGATATCAGCTTTTAAATGGAACATACGGTGCTTTTTTATTATTATATTTAGTTTCAAAAAGATCATTTTCAATATCTAGTTTAAATTAGGTAGACATGATATATTTCTATGTATATCTTATGTTTACCACTGGCAGACAGCAGGTGGCAGGCTCTAAAAAAAAAAAAAAAATTCTTCTTCTGGGTGTGCTGTGAACAGGTAGGGAGAGATCAGATTGTATAGAATGCTGAATGACTTAAAGGAGGAAAACACCCTTCATTCCCTTTTAGCAAAGATGGGGCAATGTTAATTAGTCAGAAGTGTGCAGCCAGTGCTGGGCTTTCTTTTAGGACAGGGATCTCCAAACGTTCTAGGCAAAGGGCCAGTTTACTGTCCTTCAGGCTTTAGAGGGTGAGTAGAAAATGCCCAGGCATCAGTGTGTATAAACAATGCCCCATTATTGGTTTTAATGGGGCTTTAATGGGGGGAAGATGCTCCTGTTTTTGGTATCAATGGGAAGAATAGTGCCATTGATGGTGTCAGTGGGAGGAATATTGCCCCATCATTGGTATCAGTGGGAAGAATATTGCCCCATCATTGGTGTCAGTGGGAGGAATAGTGCCCCATCATTGGTGTGAGTGGGAGGAATAGTGCCCCATCATTGGTGTGAGTGGGAGGAATAGTGCCCCATCATTGGTGTCAGTGGGAGGAATAGTGCCCCATCATTGGTATCAGTGGGAGGAATAGTGCCCCATCATTAATGACTGACAGTGAGAGGAATATTGTCCCATCATTGGTGTCAGTGGGAGGAATAATGCCATCAATGGTGTGAGTGTAAGAATAGTTCCTTCGATGGTGTCAGTGGAAGGAATGGTGCTCCATCATTGGTGTCAGTGAGAGGAATGGTGATTTGTTGTGTTGGGTTTCTGCACATTATTAGGTGTGGAGCCCAGGATTTCATTACATTTTTTGAAATCTGTATTTTACATAGTCTTGTTCTCATTGAGAACTCAAGGCACTTAGGAGTCGGGGCAACCATCTTGGGCACACTCAAATGATCATTACATCAATGGTGTGATTGTAAGAATAGTGCCTTTGATGGTGTCAGTGGAAGGAATGGTGCCACATCTTTGGTGTCAGTGGGAGAAATAGTGCCCCATCGTTAGTATCAGTGGGAGGAATGGTGCCCCATCATTGGTATCAGTGGGGGGAATAGTGCCCCATCGTTAGTGTCAGTAGGAGGAATGGTGCCTCACCATTGGTGTCAGTGGGGGGAATAGTGCTCCATCATTGGTGTCAATGGGAGAAATGGTGCCCCATCATTGTTATCATTGGGAGGAATAGTGCCCTATCATTGGTATAAGTGGGGAGAAATAGTGCCCCATCTTTAGTGTCAGTGAGGGGAATAGTGCTCCATTATTGGTGTCAGTGGGAGGAATAGCGCCCCATCATTGGTATCAGTGGGAGGAATAGTGCCCCATCATTGGGTGTCAGTGGGAGGAATGGTGCCTCATCATTGGTATCAGTGGAAGGAATAGTGTACCATCATTGGTATCAGTGGGAGGAATAGTGCCTCATCATTGGTATCAGTGGAAGGAATAGTGCCCCATCATTGGTGTCAGTGGGAGGAATGGTGCCTCATCATTGGTATCAGTGGAAGGAATAGTGTACCATCATTGGTGTCAGTGGGAGGAATAGTGCCCCATCATTGGTGTCAGTGGGAGGAATAGTGTACCATCATTGTGTCAGTGGGAGGAATGGTGCCCCATTATTGTGTCAGTTGGTGGAATTGTGCCCCATAGGCCAGACAGAGCCAAACAAAGGGCCACGTCGGCTCCCAGGCCACTGTTTGGAGACCACTGTTTTAAGTGGTCTAGCCCCAAGTAGGGATCTATGGGGTCTGAATAGCTTGAATCTTTAATAACTGTACTTAGCCAGTAAAGGGTATCATTTAAACTTTTTTAATCAATTGACGGCTAATGCAGTATAAAGTTCTCCTACTTATCTGCGTATCTTGGTAGCCCTGTAGGGCATGAAGTTTCTGGATGGGGTCTGCGTGTCTTGGAAGCCCTGTAGGGGCATGAAGTTTCTGGATGGGGCTGCGTGTCTTGGTAGCCCTGTAGGGCATGAAGTTTCTGGAGGGGTCTGCGTGTCTTGGAAGCCCTGTAGGGCATGAAGTTTCTGGATGGGGCTGAGTGTCTTGGTAGCCCTGTAGGGCACAAAGTTTCTGGATGGGGCTGCGTGTCTTGGTAGCCCTGTAGGGCATGAAGTTTCTGGAGTGGTCTGCGTGTCACTTTGGAGGGATGAGGGTTGTGGAGTGGGTGAGGGGAATCTCTAGCAGACGTGGTAGCCCTGTAGGGCATGACGTTTCTGGAGGGGGCTGGGGAGCACTGTGGGGGGTAATGGGGTTTGTGAAGTGGGTTATAGGATTCTGTAGCAGACTTGATGGCCCCGTAGGAGATGATGTTTCTGGAGGGGGCTGGGAAGCACTGGTGGTGGGGGGTTGTAATGTTGGTTAGGGGACTACAAAGAGCTAGGTGATCTGTAGGAGATGAGGTTTCTGGGGGGGCTGGGGAGCACTGTGTGTGTGTGTGTGTGGGGAGGCAGTCGGTTAGGGGGCTTTGCAGAAGATTAGGTGGCCCTGTAGGGGATGAGGTTTCTGGGGGGGGGCTGGGGAGCACTGTGTGTGTGGGGGGAGGCAGTTGGTTAGGGGGCTTTGCAGAAGATTAGGTGGCCCTGTAGGGGATAAGGTTTCTGGGGGGGGGCCTGGGGAGCACTGTGTGTGTGTGTGTTGGGGGGGGCAGTTGGTTAGGGGGCTCTGCAGAACATTAGGTGGCCCTGTAGGGGATGAGGTTTCTGGGGGGGGGGCTGGGGAGCACTTTGTGTGTGTGTGTGGGGGGGGGGGGGTTGGTTGGTTAGGGGGCTGTGTGAAAGACTAGGTGGATCTGTAGCGTAAGAGCTTTCTGGAGGGGGCTTGGGAGCACTGGGGGTGGGGGGATTGGTTGGGGGACTCTGTTGTGCCCATTATGAGAGTCTTCCACCAACCCTGTGCTGAATTTCCAGGTTTGTACATCTGCTGTGCCCATTATGAGGGGTTCCCGCTATCCCTGTGCTGAGTTCCCGAGTCAATACACCTTCTGTACCTATTATGAGGGTCTTCCACCATCCCTGTGCTGAGTTCCCAGGTCTGTACATCTGCTGTGCCCATTATGAGGGGTTCCCACCATCCCTGTGCTGAGTTCCGGGGTCTGTACACCCGCTGTGCCCATTATGAGGGGTTCCCACCATCCCGTGCGGAGTTCCCAGGTCTGTACACCCACTGTGCCCATTATGAAGGGTTCCCACCATCCCTGTGCTGAGTTCCCAGGTCTGTACACCCACTGTGCCCATTATGAGGGGTTCTCACCATCCCTGTGCTGCGTTCCCAGGTCTGTACACCCACTGTGCCCATTATGAGAGGTTCTCACCATCCCTGTGCTGCGTTCTCGGGTCTGTCCACCCACTGTGCCCATTATGAGGGGTTCCCACTATCCCTGCTCTGGATTGCTTTTTTATTTTACATTATGAAGGATGTAATAGGAAAAGTGGGATCATTCATGTTGCAGCAGCAAACTCCAATGTAGAAGTAAAGAAGAAATGAGCGCCTCCAATTATTGGTACAAAGTTACAATATATGGGGGCAAAAGACACCCCACCCCTCCTCCACCACCATGCCCCCACAGAGAATTCTTACTGATTTTTGCCTTATAACTACTCTCCCTTATACTAGCGTATGAAAAGAAAAATGCAATAATGTAAAAGTTCGATGAAACAATGTCACATTTTTTTAATCACATTTTTCATAGAGGTCTATACATGAGACCAAAAACAGGGACAACTGGGGAAGAAAGAGGGACAGGGGGGGAATTGGCTCAAAAAGAGGGGCAATCAGGAAATATGAATTCCAGATTTGAGAGGTCAACTGGAAGACGAGTTTAAGGGCTCTTTCAGACAGGCATCAGAGAGGAGGTAAACACAGGTGGCTGAGCCTCGTTTTTTTTTTGCCACCCCCTGGCTGCCCACCTGAACTGTCACACTGTACACAGGTGCGTGTACATGCTGCTTATCTTAACGTCTCTGCTGGTGTTTTTGGCCAAACAGCTAAACATTTGTGATAGTTAATGTGGTAATTAATGTCAGTATGGTGCAGGTTATGTCTGTCAAGCAGATTTGTATGTTCTTGTTTGTCCCGATCAATATCTTCATGGTGAGCTGGATGTTTTTGATTGTGTCAAATGTTATACAATTTTTGATAATTAAACCAGGACTCCAGGCAAAGAGCTAATTACACACTTGGAACACATACTGTATGTATAGATTTGTAATCCCGTTCAGCCAGTCTTGAGATTCACATTTCCAGATTGGTCAGTTTACTGTCCTCACCTGCAGAACCCCATCCACAGCCTGCTGACTGGACAATGGAGGAACATTGCCTCACTGACAGGGCTAGCGTCTGCTCTTCTGCTCTTTCCCTTCCTTTCCCTTCCCCTCCCTTCCCCTCCTTGCCTTCCCTTCCCTTCTTTGCCTTTTTCCTTCTGTGCTGTGCAGGTGATTATAGGAAGCTAATACAAAATTAAATTCAAATACTTATATTAGCTATGTATAAAAATACACTGAGTGCCCATTCACACTACAGAGATATGCTGCAGTCCATTAATTCTCATATTAGCACACATAGCTTTCTTTCCTTTCCTTTCCTTTCCTTTGCTTTTCCTTTTCCTTTCCTCTCCTTTCCTCCCCTCTCCTTTCCTTTCCTCTCCTTTCCTCTCATTTCCTTTCCTCTCCTTTCCTTTCCTCTCATTTCCTTTCCTCTCCTTTCCTTTCCTCTCCTTTCCTTTCCTCTCCTTTCCTCTCCTTTCCTCTCCTTTCCTTTCCTCTTCTTTTCTTCCCTTTTCCTTTGCTTTTCCTTTTCCTTCCCTCTCCTTTCCTCTCATTTCCTTCCCTCTCCTTTCCTCTCCTTTTCCTTTCCTTTCCTCTCCTTTCCTTTCCTTTCCTCTCCTTTCCTCCCCTTTCCTTTGCTTTTCCTTTTCCTTTCCTTTCCTTTCCCTCTCCTTTCCTTCCCTCTCCTTTCCTCTCCTTTTCCTTTCCTCTCCTTTTCCTTTCCTTTCCTTTTCCTTTCCTTTTTCCTTTCCTTTCTCCTCTCCGTTCCTTTCCTCTCCGTTCCTTTCCTTTCCTGCACTGTGCAATGGAGTGGCACCTGATTGGCTCATAGAGCTGATCCTCCATCTCCACCTCCATCAGAAGAGTATAGGGAGCTAATACAAAATCAGGCACAAGTACTTATACTACTCCTTCCTTCCTTCCTTCCTTCCTTCCTTCCGTGCAGGACATTATAGGAAACTACTAATACAAAATCAAACTCAAGTACTTATACTAGCTATGTACAAAAATGCAGGGCCCATCCACACTACAGTGATAAGTTGCAATGTGTTAATTCTCATTAAAGCACACATAGCTTCCTTCCCATTTTCCTCCTCATTTCCTCCTTCCTTCCTTCCTCCCTCCCTCCCTCCCTTCCTTCCTTCCTCCTTCCTTCCTCCCTCCCTCCCTTCCTTCCTTCCCTCTCCCCTTCCTTCCTTCCTTCCTTCCGTCCTTCCTTCCTTCCCTTCCTTCCTTCCTTCCTTCCTTCCTTCCTTCCTTCCTTCCTCCCTCCCCTTCCTTCCTTCCTTCCTTCCTTCCTTCCTTCCCTTCCTTCCTTCCTTCCTTCCTTCCTTCCCTCCCTCTTCCCCTTCCTTCCTTCCGTCCTCCCTTCCTTTCCTTCCTTCCTTCCTTCCCTTCCTTCCTTCCTTCCTTCCCTCCCTCCCTCCTCCTTCCTTCCTTCCTTCCTTCCTTCCTTCCTTCCTTCCTTCCTTCCTTCCTCCCTCCTCCCTTCCTGTGGCTGAGGCTGACCCTTTTTTTGACATGCAGCACACCACAGTGCACAGTATACAGTATATGGTGGGCTGCAGTGTGCAGTGTATTGGGGTACCTCTCACAATAATGAGCTCTACACCCCGAGTCGGTGTTCTGCCATGCATTGTGCTGTTTAGCCTGCGTTGCCTCAGTGCACAAGGATGAATGGGCCGTTGATGGTTTTTAATGGAAGGTGATGTCTTGCGTATGCCTGGAGTGCTACTTTAATGTGATCAGAATGCTTCTGTATGCAGGTCTATGTACAAACACGCACACGCACTTTTTTAGTGGGAATTATTAGCGATTCCCCTCTGCTGTGAAGATTTGAATAGCGTAGCCCATAGGACGTCCGGGGTAGTTGCATTGTCTGGCTTTTCTAAACTAGATGTTTACAGCTTTTTATTGGTGACCCTACGGGGTGTATTTATATAAAATATGCAGAGCTATTCATCCTGCAAAACTGCATGTACCGTCTTTCTGTGTGAATGGGGGAAAAATAGAACGTGGTTAGGCTATTTTCTTTCTAGATCGAAGGTTATTCATTCATAATAGCATGAATCAGGAAAATACCCCATTATGGCCACTAGATGGAGCTGATGATTATAGTACATGGGTGTCAAGCTGGTGGCCCTCCAGCTGTTGCCAAACTACAAGTTCCATGAGGCATTGCAAGATTGACAGTTGCAAGCATGACTCCCAAAGGCAGAGGCATGATGGGACTTGTAGTTTCGCAACAGCTGGAGGGCCGCCAGTTTGACACCCCCTGGCATAGTATGTAAGAATTTATTTCCTCTGATCATTAGCTCCATAGCTTTCTGTGTACCAAACCAATATCAAAAACAGTGATAGCAGCTTTCCCCGCCATCGTCTGAACTTTTTTTTGAGTGGCACCATTACTGCCATCTACAGATTTAGGGTTTTTTTTTGGTGTCTGTGTCCCCTCTGGGGAGAGTCACCCATTGATCTGTCTTGGTGGCTTTGTAGAAATTTTCTTTCACTTCCTGTTCCAGAGGAAATTTGTGAAAATCTCTATTATAGGACATAGACCAAAAAAAAAAATGTCTGATAGGGATTTTGCCATTCGATAGTCAAAAACAGATTAAAAAACCCAGTTTGGGCGATACATATGAATCGGTAATATTTTATGTTCTCGGTGATATATAATGTGTATAATACCCTCCATAGTATCTGTGAATATAATGCTTTTACAGTCAATAGCAATCATTAGGTGCTGCACAGAATCTACAGTATATATAATATCTGTGTGTATATAAAGTGTCATGGGCTGTCAGTGGTATCTATACTGTATAATATATATATATGACGTGTACATAGAAGATAACATAAAGCAGTACTCAAGCCAAACCTTACAAGATGAAAATGAATAATCCAAGATGAAAAATCATAGAACAAATCCAACCTTTGCTGCAAAATTCACCTTCAATGTAGAGATTTCTGAGATTCCGCCTGCAGTAATTTTTTCTTCCAGTAGATGTCCTCAGTCCCGCTTCCTCTGAGCTCAGGTTGTCCTGGACCCGCCCCCCCTCCAGCCTGTGAATGGACAGTGAAAGGAGGA